CATAAACACGTAGAAACATCGTAAACACGTAGAAACATCGTAAACATTGAAACACCGTAAACACGTAGAAACACCGTAAAAACAAAGAAACATCGTAAAAACGTAGAAACACAGTAAAAACAAAGAAACATCGTAAAAACGTAGAAACACAGTAAAAACATAAACACAGTAAACGTGCAGAAACACAGTAAACGCGCAGAAACACAGTAAACGTGTTGAAACACCATAAACATGTAGAAACATCGTAAACATTGAAGCACAGTAAACACGTAGAAACATCGTAAAAAGGGCCGCTGTGTTGTAGAGGTAGGGCAGCTGACTTGGAACCAGAAAGTCGCATGTTCAACTCTCAGCGATGCCGACATTTCTTCGTGTCCTTGAGCAAGACACCTAATCCCTAACTGCTCCCCGGGTGCTTGCGTAGCTGCCCACTGCTCCACCTGGGTGTATCTCACCTGTGATGGGTTAAATGCAGAGAACTAATCTTGTCATTGTATAGAAACATACGATGATGACAACACATAGCAGACTTGGGATGAGCCATCCTGCTCCGATTCAAGGAGCTCAGCAGATACTGTAGTTTTTAACGACTAACGGAACAGTTACAATAATTTAATTAATTTTTTTACCCCCTGGTAGTAACTTACTATGTTGTTTCTGAATGTTGCTTGTTTTGACACAACTACCGCCCACCACCCTCGCCAAAATATAATTAAATAAATAAAAAACAGTCCCAGTGTCTGCTTTTGCCATGGTAATTTATTTTGAAAGGATTGTAAAGTGTAAACTATGGTCGCGGGTGAGTTTAACGTCGCTGTCAGAGGACATGCACCTTCTCCCCAAATTAATTAAATAGACCTGGGGAAAAGAATGCCTCGCTATCAACACTTGCAGCCGTACATGTCTCCGCACCACCAGACGTCTTTATCCAAACGCTGTGGACACGGATGATTTTCACTAGCAAAACGTTTCATGAAGTAGATGAATTTTAATGAAAGTCTCAGATGGCGAGCACTGCATGTGCATCTACAACTGATCAACTTTAAGAGTCAGCCCAGTTTAAAATGGCTGCCGCAGCTAATCAACCTTAAAAGATGCAGACATGACTACAACTCCGTCAACATACTGAGCCAGAACTTGGTGTGGTAGTAGCTGAGAGTCGTTCACAACACATCCTTCGATGATTTTGGTTTAAAACTCTGTAAGGTGGCGGGCGATAAGCATTCTTTTGAGGAATGCTAGCTCTTGTGCTTGTTTTGACAGTTTTACAAAATGTCTGTTTTATTTTTGACAATCAGAAAAGTACTGTCTGATTGTGCGTTGCAGCGTCAGGAGCAGGCGTCTGAGGAGAACGCCGCCTCGCCCTCAGGCCCCCACCTGACGCTGTCCTACGAGGACAGCCAGATCCTGGAGGACGCGGCGGCGCTCATCATCCACCACGTGAAGCGGCAGACCAGCATCCACAAGGAGGACAAGTACAAGATCAAACAGATCATCTACCACTTCATCCCCGACATGCTGTTCTCGCAGCGCGGCGAGCTGTCGGACGTGGAGGAAGAGGAGGAGGAGGAGGAGATGGAGCTGGAGGAGGGGGCTCCTAAAAAGCACAACGGCGTCTCGGGCGGCGGGAGCCCCTCCAAGTCCAAGCTGCTGTTCGGCAGCATGGCGGCGCAGAAGCTGCGCGGCTGCGACGACGCCTACAACCTGTTCCTGGTCAACAACAACTGGTACATCTTCCTGCGGCTGCACCAGACGCTGTGCTCGCGGCTGCTGCGGCTCTACGAGCAGGCGGAGCGGCAGATCGAGGAGGACGTCCGGGAGCGGGACTGGGAGAGGGAGGTCCTGGGCCTCAAGAAGGAGAAGAACGACAACCCGGCCACGCAGCTCCGACTCAAGGAGCCCAGTGAGTGCCGGCACTTCCTGCCGTCTGCTGCTTTTCGTTGGTTTTCTTTTGAGACTCGCGCTGCAAAAGGGCGGGCAGTAAGTGCCTGTCTGTTAGCAAAATATCTCGTGAACCTCGTCAATAAATTTTGCAGAAAGAAATAAGATGGCTGCCACAGCTGTTGGACTGTCAAACACAAAAACGGATAAAAGTGTCAGTTTTAAAGATATTGAGCTGGTCGTAGCTGAGAGCGAGTTGTTTTACATTCCCGATGCAAATCAAAAATCCAAGATGGCCGCCTTAGCTAAAAGGAATAACTCAGTTATTTTAAAATATATTGGGATGAAATTTGGTGTGATGGTAGCTGACGGGGATGCACAACACGTTCTGAATTCATATCTAAAAATCCCAGATGGCCACCAAAGCTTATTTCAAATGGCTATACTTCAGCTGCTTTTAGAGCCATTCAGCTGAAATTTGATGTTTGTAGCTAAGAACAATTCCTTCTAGACTCTGATTGCAAATCACAAATCCAAGATGGTCGCCTGAGCTAAAAAGGAAAAAACATTAACAGAGATATTGAGCTGAAATTTGATGTGATGGCAGCTGAGAGCAATGCACAATAAACACTGAATTCAAATTAAAAATCCAAGATGGCCACCAAAGCTAAATTTAAATGGCTTTAACTCAGCTACTTTTACACACACACAGCTAAAATTTGGTGTGGTAGCTGAGACTGAGAACGTTCCCCATCACATGCTGAATCCAAATAAGAAAATTCAAGATGGCCGCCATTGCCTAAAAGAAAAAATGACTATAACTCTTTTTTTTTTTTTTTTGCCATATTGAGCTGAAATTTGGTGTAGTGGTAGCTGAGGGTGAACTCTAACACACGGTACTGTTTCTCCAGGAACTTTCTAGTTTAGTGTTGGAGTCAACTCTGTCCACGTGTTAGCTAAATATCTCATGTACCACGGGACAGATTTCAGTGCAGTTTTCAGGAATTATTCATTGGATACTCGTTGAAAACTGCTCGTCTTGTAGATCCAACCGGGTTCAAGATGGCCTCCGCAGCAAACCGATGTTAGAAAATACAATAACCGTTTTAATTCAGTCGTTTTTACAGGTGCTGAGCTAAAAGTTGTTGTGTTGGTAGCTGAGGCTCATTCCGTCGTTTCTCATCTGAGATTCTGACAATGTTTCTGCTCTCCAGTGGACATCGAAGTGGAGGATTACTACTCGGCATTCTTGGAGATGGTGAGGAATTTGTTGGACGGAAACATGGAACCGTCTCACTACGAGGACTCTCTGAGGGAGATGTTCACCATCCACGCCTACATCGCCTTCACCATGGACAAGCTCATCCAAAGCATCGTGCGGCAGGTATTCTCTTCGCTCCAAGGCACAGTTATAGTTCATCAATCGGTATTTAGTGCCGTCTATGATTCTTCTTCCCACGCAGCTCCAGCACATCGTGAGCGATGAGATCTGCGTCCGGGTGACGGACCTCTACCTGTCGGAGAGCGCCAACGGAGCCACCGGGGGGTCCTTGTCCACACAGGCTACAAGGAGCGCGGCAGAGGGAACCTACCAGCGGAAAGCTGAGCAGCTCATGTCGGATGAGAACTGCTTCAAGGTGAAATAAAAAGGAGGAAACAGTCGGTGGCTGTCGGAGTTCATTTACCGCACGGAGTTGTTCCAGTTGTTTTTTCAGTTGCTGCTAATAAGTTATTTTTTTCATCATAACAAAAATGTCTAGACAAGGGAAGCACTAAAAACCGCTTTTTAGTGCAATTTTAATGTTTTTGTTGTTTTAGCCTGAAAAGTTGCTGGCATGCAAGAATCGTTGTTTTTATTTTTTTATTTTATAGAAGTGTTTTCTTTTTTTTTTATTCTTGTGATGAAAATTTAATCAAGGATACAAAAATAAAAGTTCTGTTTTGTTATAAAGTAGATGTATTTTTCCCCTCTCTGACCTGAGAGCCACATAATTCAGAATGCTCCAGCCGTACACCGGCCGTCTTGTTTTGGGGCCTTAGTTCACGGTGCCTGTGCATAAACATTAAATCGCCTTCATTGCTTTTTATCTTCTTTACAAGTTTTATCTGTTTGAGCAAACGTTTCAAAAATCTGAAATTTTTTCCCATGAACAACAATGGACTTTTTGTCAGGTTTACTTTTTAGTCTGCCTCTTTTAAGAGCATCGTCAGGGAGTGAGAGACATGGGCGTGCAGTTACCATGGTGACCCTAAAGAGTTGCTCTCAGCAGCTTTAACATTCCTTTTGAGCTTGTTTCACTTCTAATACGGTTCATACGTCAAAATGTTGGTATTTTTCTCTGTTGAGATCGTTTTAACGAGAGGTTTGAGCTCCGAGCTGCACCCTTCTAGTTGCGTTGGTTGTATCAAAGGTGTGTTGACTCCTCCTCCTTCACCTCCTCAGGTGATGTTTCTGAGGAACAGAGGGCAAGTGCAGCTGACGGTGGAGCTGCTCGACACGGAGGAGGAGAACTCAGACGAGCCCATGGAGGCGGAGGTAAGAAGCTGCTCACCTGGTGCAGGTCAGCTCTGAGGTTCTGGTTGGTGGAAAAAAAAAAAACATTTGCGAAATAAATCATTGACGTAACGGATCAAGAATATTGAAGTAAGCGCGAGACCGTTATTGTAACCTGTCCACAATGATGAAACAACTTGTCTTTATCTAACATTTTTCCCTTTCTAATTTCCTAAAGCCCACCCTGTTTGTTGACGTTTCATGAGTTCAGTTCCGAGGAGGATTATTAATTTTTTTCCGTATATTTATTGTATTTGGGGGCGTTTTAATCAGCAAAGTGACATTGTTTTTACATTTTGTCTAGTAAGAAGGTCCACTTTTCCAGCTGGAGTGGAAATACTTGTAAGGACCTGTTGCCAACCTTTTGGTAATACTGGTACACTAGTTGTGCTTCTTGCTGCTCACCTGGGATTTAAATGCACTTTTGTCCTTGTTTTGTGTTTGCAGCGTTGGTCCGATTACATCAGTCGCTACTTAAACCCAGATTCCACCACTCCTGAGTTAAGGGAGCACCTCGCTCAGAAGCCTGTGTTCCTCCCACGGTGAGTTAACTCATCTGGGCGTTTCATATGTGACACAGTTCATACCTGTCTGACACGTGTGCCATGAATTAGGATTGATTGACAGTTGGATGCCTCATCCCGTGTTTCTCCGTGCTCTCTAACAGAAACCTGAGGCGGATCAGGAAGTACCAGAAGGGCAGAGAGCAGATGGACAAGGAAGCCTGCGAGGGGGGCAAGAAATCCCTGGAAAAGGAGAAGATGGAGTGCATGTTCAAACTCAACTCGTACAAAATGGTCTACGTGTTCAAGTCCGAGGACTACATGTATCGACGCACCGCTCTGATTAGAGCTCAACAGGTCCTTACCGCCAGATTAAGATCCGAGCTTTGACTGGGTCATTGCAACACCTGACTGTCTTCTTCCGTTCATTTTGTCGTCGTTTGAGTTTGAGTGAGATCGTTATCTTGTTGCACGATCCAACGTTGTCAATTCTTAGCTGTCCAACTAATGGCCTCACCTTTGACCCCAGAATACTTTGGTTTACAGAGGAGTTCATGATTGCTTCACTTAGTACAGGGTAGGCCTGTCACGATAAACAACAAATCAATTAATCGCATGATAAATGAAAATCATTGACCTCACTGACCCCTCCCTTCCTATTTCTTCTTTAAAATCCATTTCAACCGTCCAAAATCGTGTTTTTGGACGGTTAAAAGCAGCTAAGCTACGAGCTAAGCTAACAGGCCGACCTCGGAAAAAACCTCTGTCTTGTCGAAGCTCTATAATTCACGGTTGAAACCCGTGCCTTCGTGTAAAAAGTTGTTTTTCCTCTCCAAAAAGAAGCTGAGAACTTGTTTACTGATTTTTTTAAATTAAAGCTTTGTGTAAAAAATGCTAAAGAGCTCAAACCACACTGAGCGTCCGCCATTTTGAGAACCGAAGAGACAGCCCATGTCATGTCAATGGGCCTCCCTCCCATTTTTCTTAAAGAGACACGCTGCTCGCTCCCTCACTATCCATCCTTCGGTTCAAACAGTCTCATACTGCCATCAGGTTGTCAAAAAAGGTACTACACACAAAACAAATTAACCAACATTTCTTCTTATAATATATAATAACTATATAATTACAAATTATTGTCAAATTTCAAACAATATTATCGTTTATCGCAATAATTTTTGAGCCAATTAATTGGCCATTAAAATGTGTTATTGTGACAGGCCTAGTACAAGGCGATCAGTTCCAGTAGCTAAAAAACAGCCCAAACCATCCACCTTCCACCACCGTGCTTAAAAGTTGATGTGATGTGCTTGTTCTGATCAACTGTTTAGTTTGTACCAAACATGGTGCTCTGCATGATCTTTAAACTTCTCCGGTCTCAAACTCTGAATTGTTTGAAAACAACGCTGTCGTGTTGTTAGTCAAAGAGGACCGTCTCTTAAACAGTTTTCCAAATGTCCACTCTCACTACAACTCTACTGCGGTGTAGGTGGTTGGTGGGATCGTCGTAGCACAGTCGCCCTAGACTTCCACCTTATTTTCAATCCAGGGTAAACACAACACATTGGGTATATATGCAAACTAAATTCACAAAACGCCATCGTCTGCCACGGTTTCTGCAAACGCCACGGCCGAGGCGAGACCACCGTTCCTCCGTCGATCAGCGCTCATAAATCGAGTCCATTTATTCTGACTCGGCTGTTGTCGGCCAACAAATAACACAAACGTCTGCACCTCCTCAGAATACAGAATACACAATATGCCAAAAAATTAACGAGTTATATCCATTTTTTTCCTTTTAAGCTATGGTGGCCATCTTGGATTTTTAATTTGAACTGTATTTATTGGGTATTGCTATCAGCTACCACCACACCAAATTTCAACTTAATATATTTTAAAAATAACTTAAGTTATATTTTTTCCCCATTTTAACTAAGGCGGCCATCTTGGATTTTTGGTTTGCATTAGGAACGTTTAACAACTCGCTCTCAGCTACGTTCATACCAAATGTGAGTTCAATGTCTCAAAGATTGACTGAGTTATAGTCAATTTTGTGTTTTTGAGGTAGCTCTGGCAGCCATCTTGAACCAAAATGGCTCCAAATGGTAATCGGTGTTTTGTTCAGGGACCTCTCCACTCCAGGTCATGTGACCTCACTGTGGCGGTTAGAGGCTAAGAGTTCTGTCTGTGTTTTTCAATGAGAAAAACGGCGTCTTTGTTTGCAAATTACGTCGTCATGGTAACTCGAAACGTCAATAAAAGTAATAGCACACATCACAGTGCCGATCCGGTCGTTTTCATGTATCATTTGTTTGTGTGTGTGTGTGTGGGGGGGGTGCACGTTGCGGTTCAGGCCGTATTAAAGTTGAAGGAAATCTGTGAGCTTCAGTATTTTGACGTCCGTCTGTTTTGTTTTTCAGTCACACGAGAGGGTGAGCACGCGGCTGCACAAACGCTTCCAGGCCTGGGTGGACGCGTGGCTCGAAGAGAACGTCCCCCGCGACATGATCGCCGACACCAACGAGTGGCTCATGGGCGAGGGGTGGGACGGCCTGCTGCCCTGCACCACCACCCGCCACCCGGAGCTCCTCCACTTCATGAACGTTAACAAGTACCGCGTCAAATACGGCACGCCGAGCAAGGCGCCGTAGCCACCGCGGAGAGAGGGTCGGCGTTTGGTCCGAAGCCAAACGGGTCGAGTAGTGGCAGGGGCGGGGGCTTATAGATGTTTTTAGAGCCAACGTGAGAGCACAATGACGCTAGTTACCTTGTGCGTGTTGCATCCAGGGCGGCAGGATCACTTTTTTTATTTTTTATTTTTAATCCAGCGTTTTTAGCTGGGCCCATTTTTCCTCATCAGGCCTTTTCGTGCCAAAACTTTGGAATGGTCCCGGTCCAGTCACAGACCCGAGCTCTTAAACCAGCACTCAGAGCCACGTCACAAACTTCCCCGAGCCAGTTCGACGGGGCTGGGAAAAGAAAGTGGTGCTTTTTGTATTTTACCATAACTGAGCTTCATTTTAGCTTTTTGTTGTTGTCGTTTTGTCTAAAGCCATCAGAGCTCCGTTAAAGCCGACCGTACCTTGTTGAATTCTGTCGTTCTTATGAAAAACAGCATGATGGACAAGTGCACTTATTTGGGAAGAGGGAGGAACGCTGTAAAGGTTCAGGTCGGGGAGTGCTTCTGAGAGGTCTGGTTACGACATTCCTGCGTCGACGGCCGAATCACAATCGTCACGAGGCGGAAACACGGTTTGTTTTCCTGAAACACGAGGAGAGTTATTAAAAACTGTGCCTGAGCCCCAAACTGTCTTGTGGGCGTTTGCCATGGAGAAGCAGTGTTGCATTCAATGTCAAAAATTAAATAAAGAAAACAGCCTCGCAGCACAGTTTGGTCTCAGTCTGTAAAATTGTACAGCGTGTAAATGTCAGATCCTGACAAGTATTTCAGTGTATGTGTTGTATATACATATATATATATATATAAATACATATATATATATTATTATACAATTCTATGAACGAATGATCCTGCTGCCCTGGAAGTCAAACTTTTTAAGAAGCCCTCTGCCGATACACCAGCTTACACACACACGTGCGCACTCATGTCGTTCTGGGAGGACTGTCCACGTTGTAAATACTCTGTATATAGTTTCAGACTTTTTATGACAGACCTGTGTTGTGCTAGTAATACTTTCCAAGCTTACTGTGGACTTTAGTGATTAATGGCTAAAGTTAGGTTCTGTATGAGAAAGACAGAATACGAGAGTGTTTATTACCATTTTTACCAAAGGGAGTTCATGATGAAATGGTCTTTCTGCTGCCCCCTTTGTGTCTTTCCTTTATGCCTTTTTAATTTCTGTACTTAATGTTCTTGGAGGAGGCGATGGAGGAGAGTAGAAATGTATCCAGGTCTTTCAGTTTTTATATAAGGATCAAAATAACCTTTTTTTTTTTTTTGGTTTCTTTTTCTCTGACTGTGATGATTTGTTTGTTAAAAATCACTGCCCCCCACCCCCTTTGTCACACCGTCATCCTGAGACTTGTTTTAAAGCTCGTTCTTCAGACGGATGGACCCCCCCGGGTAGATTTCTGCTGCAAACATCAACCCACACCACATTTTTGATAATGTAAGAAGTCACACGAGCATGTCTTTAGTCCCTTTATTTAGACATTATTTAAAGTAATAATAAATTTGTAGCCTACAGCGCCCTGTGTGAGCTCATTTTGTTCATCTGATTTATATTTTGTTTGTTGGTTTAAATGAATTTAACAGAAACATTTTGGGAGTCAAGATGGCTACTTCTGCCAATTAAACCTAAAAAACGAACAAATTATAATAAAATAAAAAAAAGTATAATAAAGTTCAGCTATGTTTACATGCGCAAAATTCTTTGACCGGACTGAAATATTTTCAGATGTACTGACATGCGCAGAAGAAGAAAAAAAAAAAACCGAAGAAGTTCTACTTCCGGTTTACTTCCGGGATAAAGTTTTTCTTTGTTTTCGGGATGAACATAAAATCGGAGCGCCCAAAATGGAGCCGCGACAGGTTTTAATGACGGTGGAGATGTTTCTGCACTCCCTGACTGAGCTACAGGTAATGCAGATAATTTGAGCTCTTTCAAAGTTTCTAGTAGAATTGCTGTGTCGTTCACTGCCCAGTTTTGCTTCCCACTACATGCTAATATTATTAGCATTAGCCAGGCGGAAATACGTCAGGTAGACAGGTCGCACATGCGCAGTTAGGCCAGTTTTCCACAATAGAAAAAACATTACGAATCGGCATAAACCACCTGTCTCATTCTGACTACAAATTATTTCGGATTGATCTGAATCAACAAAGAATAATCCGAAGGGTGCGTTTACATGACGCATTTTTATTCCGAATGGCCGTTTAATCCAATCATTTATGTCCATGTAAACATATTGATCTGCATGTTCTGAGCGCAAGATATTTGTTTTAAGTTTTGTCGTTCAGCTCTGTCTGTTAGCAAAATATCACATGAACCAGTGAACAGCTTTTAATTAAACTTCCTGTAAATATTCATTAGATGGAGATCTTCAGCTGACTACCTAATTCAAGATGGCCGCCACAGCCAACACGCCTGAGAAAACAGATTTCTGTAATTCAGTCAGATTTACAAATACTGTGCTCAAATTTGGGTAGTAGCTGGGAGTTTTTCCACATGCTCTGAGTGCTACTTGTTGCTCAAGATCTTTGCTCAGAACTTTAACAAACTATCAACCCTGTTAGCAAAATATCTCATGAACTAATGGGTGGATTTTAATGGTGATTTTCGGACAAACGACTGCGACCGATTACTCTTGTGGAGTCGACCCAAGATGGCTACCTCGGCTAATTCACACTGGCCAACAAAAGAAAGTATAACTTGTCAGTTTTATTGATATTTTGCTACAACTTGTGGTAGTAGCTGAGGGTCATCCCCAACACATAACATGAGTGGGACATCTTGCGATATCCCATGAGGTTAAAGTCATTTTCAAGGTTTGTGGAAATAAAAAAAGGCCACAACTAAAGATCTGCAGTGTTTCTCCTCGGTCGCTTGTCTCGGCAGGGCGCTCATCTCTTCAGGGATTTTTGTCGACGGAGAAACGTCTGTGTTGGCGGGACTTTAAGAAGTGGTCATTGTAACGGTATAGGCTGCTTCTTTTGCTGCAGTGTTACAGATTACGTGTTCTTTTAAACATACGTGACATTTAGCCAATAGAAACGTTTTTGGTAAAGGTCACATACGTTTAATTTGAAACCTGTAGGAAATAAGAGAGCTGTTTTGAATGAACGTAAAATATTTTGATTAAACAAAGATTGTCCCTATTTGTAATAAATTGTCAGAACTAATCAGAATAATCACAAAACAGATTTTAGATCACACTTCCTGGTATGTGGCATGTTCAGAGGACTTTTTGTTGTTGTTGTTCCTGGGGTCATGTGTCAATTTAAACAGGACAAGTATGATTTTTTGTTGGAAATGCTGATCTAGAATCCCACTTTCGGCTTTAGTTTCATATAAATCCTGCAGGGGGTGTCCTCACACCACCCGTCCTCTTCTCCCTTCAAAATAAAACTGTGTAAAGTAAAGTTTCTTGTTCTTTCCACTTGTAATATGTTCCCAGTTTTTCTCGTAAAGCAGTTCAAAGACATTAAATCAACAAATTCTCCTCCGCCTGCATCTGATAATAGTGTTGAATAAAACGTGTTTATTATAGAGTTCAGGTGTATGTGACCAGGATTGACACTTTTTCTTTACTAAATAAAGTTTTCACACACAAACATTGTTGCGTGCCACAGGATGTGGCCATGAAGGAAGTGGACCAGGTGTGCTGGAATATCTGTGAAAAACTCTGAAGGGTTTTCTCCAAACACAACATCCCTGCATTATTCACAGCTAGCAGAACTCTCAGACAGAGCTGGTCCATTCTGAGGACAGAACCCCCAAACTGCGGGTTGGAGACTGAACATCCTCAGGCCAACACTCGACAGCAGAGCCCTTCGTGTCTCCTGCGCTCACGATTGTCAATGAGTTCCTCAAAGGCAGTGATTTATTTATTTATTACACTTTTCTCTAAAGCTCTTCTGCCTGATTACTTCCTTGAAGTGCACGCTCCCGGAGTTTCAACAGCTTTCCTAAACAGGCATTTCCACAACTTCTGACTCGGAGAGCAAGCCACAGAGCTGGCATTGTGCTCCGAGCACCGAAGCTGTGGCGACTATTAGCTGTTCAGTGAACTTACTGAGTGACCGTGCACATTTCTGCTTGTTAGCGTGCATGAAAAGCACACCATTGAGATCCTGTTTGTTCATCCTATGCCAAGTTTTGCTGCTTAACTACTATTGCACACTTGATACTATTGCAGCCATTCAAACTTCAAACTAAGAACATTCAGATGTTTGCTTTGATTTTGTGCCATTTATGGTTTTTGATATATTAAGCTTTATTTAAGCTTTATTAGGATACATTGGGAGAATTTGAGCAGCTTGGATTTGGTCCAACGTGATCCCCTTCTGACAACTTTTAGAGGAGGTTCTGCAGATAGAGACTCCATTAAGTCCAGTAATCACAGAACTATAATTTATTACTTCCAGCATTATAAGAGTTGCAGAAGTTTAATTGATGTGCAAATGAACCTTCTCCAGCCTCAGACGTTAGCATTATGTAACACAGAGATATTATTAATATAGTGATGGTACTTTTAATAGCTCACAAGTATTAAGGCTGTCACTACTTGATTCACCTGTTTATACTTTCTATATTTATTGTGAAAAGCTTTGAATTTGTCCAATAATCTCAAATTTCCCCCTGGGATTAATAAAATGTCTATCTGTATGTCCGTCCGCAGGCATATTCAAAAATAGCTTCAAGGAAACACATTCAAATTCAAAAAATCTTTATTAATCCCAGAGGGAAATTGTTGTCGTAGCTCATCATCCCGGTTTCATTCAAGAGTTGTTATAGATGCTGATAGCTGTGGACAGGAAGGATCTCCTGCAGTGAAGCTGAAGAATCTGGCCACAGATACTGATCTGTCCACCCAGATCCAGCTTGCTGTCAGATCCAGCGGGCCTCTCAGTCCTCCTGGGCAGCAGGACTGCCCGAATGCCGGACAGAATTCCTCCCTGAGTGATGGTCAGTCAGTCTGCAAAGCTCCTCACGAGCCGACTTTCTCACCAGCTCCACGATCTCGGTGGTCAGGTACTCGAGCACTGCCTCCAGGTTGACGGGAATTTGTCCACGGCGCCTCCTTTTCAACTCATTTGGTATTTGGAGCTGTAGTTGAGATATTTTGAGCTTTTGAGATGTTAATCAGCTGCTCCTTGTTGTTAAAAAAAACAACAACACCTTGTTGCCATGGTTACGCATCATAACAAATGTCCAAAAGAAAAAAGGTTTCGGTAAAAATCCTTGCAGGTGCACAGCAACTGACACCAGAGGAAATAATCATCGTAAAAAAGCGATATACATCCAGAAAAACGAGGAATTAAAGTTTTCAACAGCAGTAAATCAGAATGAAAGTAACAGAGCTGCTCCAACATGCAGCCACCTTGAGCCGGGCAATTCCAGAACTCTCACGTATTCGTACTCACATGTACTCACATGTACTCACATGTACTCACATGTACTCACATGTATTTCATGCACAGTTTGTTTGTTTGTTTTTTCCCACCAAAAAACTTTTTCTCTAGCTAATCTCATTTTTAGTATTTTCGACTCCCAACAGGCGCCGTCCACTCGTTGTTCGATCACAGCGTTTCTTAGAGGACAAAGAAACTGAACATCTGGCAGCGTTCACCACCTCTGTATGAGGAGACAGGTTATTTTGCATAATGAGGACAAACCGTCTCCCCACTATATCCAAAAATAAATAAATAAAAACGCATTCTGATTTATTTTTGGAATAGTCTTTCAAGTTTCAAACATGGCAGATTAAAAACGATAACCACACAAAGCTGCTATTATTAACACAAAGCAGTCAGCGCCGCTCAGGGTGGGTGATTTCTGCTTCTTGTGTTGCAGAGGATCTTTCTGTCTGGCAGTGGGTGCAGCACAGTGACGTCTGCTGTATAGGATGATTTGTCTCCATGACGAGAAAGAGTCACCATGCTGCAGGCTCCCAGCTCCTCTGTAAACGGATTAGCCAAGTCTGGCACTCTTACATAACCTCTGCAGAACGGCTTTATGAATCCCCCTATACCTTTTGGGTAGGGATTCAAAGACACATGTCTAAAAACCTCTGTATTCTGAATAATAATAAATAATAAGACAATTTATATCTGATGTTATTGGTTGAGATAAGAACAGTGTGCGACAGGTTGTATTTATGGTTGGAGCCTTGCCCTGACCTTCTCAATCTTCACTGTCTGAAGTTATCTCCACTTATGCCAAGCTGTCCCTCTGATGTAGCCTTTTCTAATCCTGTACATTTTGGTCACTCCCAATGAAAATCTTAATATTCA